ACAAATTGGTTTCTTAGGACCTGGTGCCACATTACACTTTGTTTGTGCATTGTGTGTGTTTTCTGCTGCCTTTAGTTTGTCTGTTAATCCATCAGCGCTGGGGATGGGGGGAAAAAGCTTGCACATTTGCAATCCTGGCTCATCTGTGTCCCTTAATCCTGAGAACAGCCATGCTGGTGAGATTGCAGGCCCCTCGGAGTCTCTCCTTCTGGAAACTTCAAAGTCAGGCATTGGCGATTTGGAAGACAGGGAGGCAAAGTCTGCAGGGAGCCTTCATGGAGGTCAGCCCAAATCTTTAGCTGAGAGCCCCTGGTTCAGTGCAGGTGGATCTGAGGCCAGTGTTGAGGGAGGGAGAGGTGCTGTTAGGCAGATGGAGAGGGATTAACCCCCTCCACCAACCACCCATCTTTGAATTATGAATGTCCCTTCTCTCTTTATGTCTGTCAGCACAAGGCAAGTCTTTGAACACAACACTCTTGTGTCCCTCTATGCAGTTATGTGTCATAAAAGACATTTTACTGTTTCTGTAAGAGTCAGAAGTAATTTCTTTCTTGTATACTTCTACTCTGTCATAGGCGGAGGGTGAACCAACTGTAGGCTAAAGGTGTGGAAATCCAGGTGTAGGCGATATATTTGACTAGATCACATCATTTTTTGAAATAATACAGACTGCTTTGAGAGAATGTCTTGAATTAGATGTATTAAAGGGATAGTTCACCCAAAAATTAAAATTCTGTCATTAATTACTCACCCTCATGTCGTTCCAGTCCCGTAAGACCTTCGTTCATCTTCAGAACACAAATTAAGATATTTTTGATGAAATCCGGAAGAGTGGAAATAGTTGAATGAAGTCGTTAATTTTGTTTTCTTTGCACACAAATAGTATAGCTTCTTAACATTACAGGTTAAACCACTGGTATCACATGGACTATTTTAACAGTGTCTTTACTACCTTTCTGGTCCTTGAACGTGTGAGTTGCGTTGCTGTCTATGCAGGGTCAGAAAGCTCTTGGATTTCATCAAAAATATCTTAATTTGTGTTCTGAAGATGAACAAAGGTTTTACGGGTTTGGAACGACATGAGGGTGAGTAATTAATGACAGATTTTTCTTTTTTAGGTGAACTATCCCTTTAAGTGTAATTTTCTTGTTTAAAATATAAACTTCATTTTTTTATTATTATTTATTAAATGTATTATTATTATTATTATTATTTAATTATATCTGATTAATATGTCATACTACAAAAGTTCAAAAGATTTTTTTTGAAAGTAGAGTTTTATGTTCACCAAGGCTTTATTTATTTGATCAGAAATACAGTAAAAACTGTAGTGTTGTAATCTATTATTTTACAATATTTTAAAATGTAATTTATTCTTGTGGTGGAAAAGCTGAATTTTCAGCAGTCATATGTCATACGGCCCTTCAGAAGACATTCTAATTTGCTTATTTTGTGCTCAAGAAACATTTCAAAGTGTTGCTATGCTATGTTACGTTACGTTGACATATCCCACATGACTGCCACATTTTAGTGTGCCTGGATCATATGTGAAAACCTCTAGGTTTGTTTGTTTTTAGAATAACCTTCTTGTTCCGCCTGAGGGTAATATACATGATAAAACAACTCATTTTATCAGACTGTAACTTTTGTGTAGCCAAGAACTTGTTCACCTTTAATACCTGGCCAAAAAGAAAGTTAGTTTTGGACCCGGGGATGCACTGTGATGCTGATGTTTGAACTCGTGTTGTGCTCAGGGAGGCAGGGACTCCACAACTGCTGCTGTGAGGATTCACAAACACAAAGGAGTGGCAAATTCATGAAAATGAAACGAATGAGGTTAATACAGCCTGTTTTATGCAGAGATCCTTGAGGATGACATTTGTTATGTTGCACGAAAATGTAAATGAAGAGGAAAGCCTTGCTTCAAGACGTCTCTGAGGGAACCAGGCACTGTGTTCATAGAAAATACAGAAGGTCTGGGATCAGATTCCACCTTGTCTTCTCTAATCACAGACAGAATAGACTACAAAGCAAAACAGACCTAGAAATATCTCTCATATAATGTTTCATATTCTTAGACACTTCATTAATATAGCACAATATCTAATTCTCTCATTCTGTATTTTTAAACGTATCCTTATTTTTGGCGTAGTTTGGTGTCTGAGCTCATGGACTTGCTGTATTCTTTCTGTTTTACAGACTCCGATCTGCCAATGACATGTGACCCTATCTGAAAGCGTTGAAGAATTGAGCCTCAGCCTTTTAGATGCCAGATCTGTCTGTCTCAACAAAGACAGAAAGCGAAGACTCTTGTCTCATCACCATTCAGATTCTATAAAAGCAATTAGCTTAATGGCGACTGTGGTGACAAAGCTTTGGCTCGCTTAGGAGATGTGAACCGCCCTACTGTGATTTACCTCAGACAAAGAGGGCACCTTGGGAATTTAAGTTGGCATACTTTTAAGAGTTTGAAGTAAACAACTCTTGCTCATTTATTTTACTCTTGCCATCAGTTACGCAATGGACTCTAGCTGAACAGAAGTCTAACTGAAGACTAGTTGTGTTTCATTCTGCTCCCTAATTCCCTATGACGTGCTTGAGGACATTGTGAACAAATGTAAGTACTAGCAAGACCCTTGATACACTGAAGTTTGGGAAATTGATGACTTTATCACCTGTGACCTGGCTGCGTCACAAGTACAAGTAGCTGGTATTTATCAACATTGTTGTGCACCTTCATTGTAGATGTAAAAAGTACACTGACATTATGAAAATGTGCTTTTCTTGAGTTTTTAAAAATGGCAATTACGACATTAAACATATCACATAGCAAAGCACAAAATGATTACAATATTAATACAAATACCAAATTCTCAACATAAATAAACATAAACAAAAATAAAAGTTATTTTATTTTGAGGATATAACGTATATTAGTGCTAAAATTGGTTATACCCAATATTAGAGTTTTTTTTTAATTTATTAAATAACAGTCAATATTGAATATTTAATTATGCATGTCCCTTATATTTACATTAAGATTACCTTTAGTGTCATCTACCACTCAAAGTAAATTTTTTATATTAATACTAATAATTGAAAACCTTTAAAACTTAAAAAATATAAAACTATGTAAATATAAAATATGTTTTTCATATTTTATGAAATAACGTTGTGTTGCCTACATAATGGTTGATTTTAGTTTAGTGTTTTATTTTTATTTGATTCCTGCGCTAGTCTTAATATTAGCCATTTATCTGGTATCAGCTTATGAAAATAATTAGTAGGTAATTGGTATTGGCCAAAACTTTTAATTGTGTGTAATTGTACTTCAACTGTAGCATTGTTAGTATTCATTTTACTTTATAAATGAATTTAATTTATTTGTACATGATAGTATAAAAAGTTTAGTTTAGCAATTATCAGCCATGACATTCAAATAATTGTTGGCTTATCCATATTGGCTAGAATTTTAATATTGTTTCATCCCCAGTCTTCTATCTTTAACTAAAGCACAAATTCCTGTCTAATATTTAAAAGTTTGCATAATTGTTTACCTGTCATGCATTTTAGGGAATAGGGGTGAAAGATCACATGAAGAAACAACTTTAAATACTTAAGAAGGAATAGTGACATTTCTAGTAAGTAAATATTATTGCTAGTTTCACGGTGGGTTGCATTCTGGGAATTTCTGGGGCGTGAACATTTCTCTGCTTAAAGTGATTTGGACAATGGGACAGCCTCAAAAACGGCTGACTCCCTGAGCAGCACACTACTGAACTAGGGAGCGGATTGAGACACAATGGGTGCGTGACAGTGAATGTGACGTACTCGGATCCTTTCCTTCTCTTCTAATTCCTTCCTCACTTGCTTTCTCCTTCATTTGCTCTCAAGTCATTTGTCTCATTACTCTAATTTAACAGTGCACTTCGCCGTCTTTGTGGGGGAGGCCTGGCTTATTTAAAGGCCTGATTGGAATAAGGAGATGATGGTGGTGAAGGAGCCATTTATACAAGATGAGAAGGAGGGTGGTCTCGGCTATTTTGAGTACCAACCCATGCCCACAAAACCTGCCAATTAGCTTAAGTGGCCTCCCAGCGAGCTGGATTAGTCCTGTACCTTTCCGAGAGAGTGAGAAAAGCACTTTCTTACAAAAAAGTGGCAAACTTGGTTAAGCTTCCATGCTCTAATTGCAGGTCTGGTTGCAAAATAGCATGTTACATTACAGATGCCCACATACAGACGTGTTTTATGCTGAGGTAAAATTACTCCTTGTTTAAAAGCTGTGCAACACGACTGCTGTTTTTCTGTGCTTTATACCTGTTGTGTTGCAATGTACTTTTGTTCTGCCAAGCTGGCTGCCTCTGATAAGTTTTCTTCGCTTTTCCACTTATTCTCACTTGGCCACATTGCTTCTCTTGATTCTCTTTAAGGGTGCTACATCTTAAAAATAGCAGGTGTTCGTTTCGATCCTGTGTGTGTGAAATGCGTGGTGAAAGTTTTGACCGGATTCCAAAAAAGTGGTTCCCACAGTCTACGCGCCGCAGGCAGGACAGACAGCGTGTATCGATCAGGGTGAAAAGCGGGGTTTCGCCGGAGATTAATACTGTGCTCAGCAGAGCTCACGAAGTTGTTAACGTAATGTGGAAAAACCGGTGTGATCAGCCATATTGACAGCGCAGGGCAAGGCCACTGATTAAGTGAGTGAAGTGCATTTCACAAACTCAAACTCTGCATTTCACAAGCACTGAATTCTTCTTCCAAAGAACATTTTGTTTTGCTCCTGTATGAGCCTGTGTTGGGGGAGTAACAAACTAACTTTAGCATTTTCAGCACTACTAACTTAGCATGTAATTTTTTTTCAACAAGTAAGCAGTGTGACATTATAAAATGCTTTTTTTTGTGATTCTAAAAGTATTGTGCATGCACATCAGAGTGTGCAAATGTGCTCAAACATGCTTCATGATTTATGCGTAACATGAAAAAGTCTGAATTTTGGTCCTTTTGCAGTCTACGTTTTCAAAATAATATTACAAAAACGTATACAAAATAATATTACAGTATTTATTATAATAATCTTAAAAATCATATTTAGTTAAACGCTTCTGTTGGCCACTTTGTTTTTGTGTTTTTGTTCTAGGAATGTAAATTATGACGTTTTCTAGTTTTGTTGATGATTTTGTGTTTATTGATGGTATTAAGTTTTACATTTTATGTTGGTGGCATTTAGTGTAAATGAATGGTAAAAAAAACTGCTCCAATTTACATAAAGAAAAAAGGAATCGATTTTTTTGCAGTAGTAATCAAACAAGTGAATCAATGCACTGAATTGGTTCATTTAAATACGCTAGTTTAGTAAAAAAGACTTGAGTCCCTTTGCAGGCTTCATTCTTTGTGTAGTGATACAAATGAATATGATTTTTTTTGGTAAATAATCTTACAAAGTAATAATGTTTAAGCAGTGCTGCTGCTTGGCCACTGTTTTACTCAAATATATTGTTAGATTGTGCTGTTTTCTAGTTTTATCGAGGGCGTTCAGTGCAAATAAATCTGTTCAAATGCTGTTTAATGGCAGTGTTTCATTAGCTTGTACTATATCTAGTACTTTTACTTATATGTCCCTTAACAAACTACACTTCAAAGTATCTTCCCCAGCACTGTTAGGGTAGAAGGACATGTCCAGGAGATAGATGGTTTAATCCAGCAAGTCATAGCAGAAGAGAATTTTTAATAAGAAGAACATTAGTTATAAATCTTTATTTCAAGCTGCGTTCTTCATTGTCAGCACATTTGAAGGCTTAATGAATGCGTATGTGTGGTGTCTGAAGCCTGAAGAAATTGTTATATATCTTTTTATTGGACATGAAAGGTCACCTTGAGAAAAGGAAATTAGACTTTCATTTTTCCCCCCCTCTGCCCAATGAATGTAGCTGACCTGCATTGGAGAGACGTGTTAGTGAGTTTTTAATCAGCATGGATATTTATTTATTACCCTCAGCCTGAAGCTAATTTACTTCATCTCACTCACTTTCCTGTTTCAGGTCATTTACATACATCCCTCCCCCAAGGCCTGCTGGGACAGGATTACTGTATTAATTGCTTTTCGGTATGATGGAGAACAAAGCAGCCTTTCTTTTCCTCTTCCTCATATTCCAAGCGACTAATGCTACGAAGTTTGCAGGAAATTAGCCACTTGGGACCAAGACCTTGACCGAAATGTATTTCGGAAATTGCAGCTTGTGTGCGAGAGCTCATATACTTGTCCATTTGTAATCATCTGCGAATCTGGTACCTCAAGGACCTGGAGAAGCGATATGATAAATTCAGTAGTCGACACACGTACACAAATGCACACAGGTGAATTGATTTTTCGTGTGATCGCTACACCAAAGTGTGATCGAGCGTCTTTTTGCAATCATGGGTCGCGTGCCAGTCGACCCGCACACACAACGGTGATGAATGACCTCACGATGAGGCCTGTCACTGGTTGGTAATGTCACTAAATCTCCCACCACAAAGACCACAGCATGTTCAATAATATCGACTGTGTGTGCGTGTTTGTGAGCTCATCCTCCATTTGGGATGTTGTAGGATATCTTTGCTTTCATCTTAGTGTTATGGGATATGTTTCTGTTGTTGGATATAGATGACTTCGATGGCCGATCCAAAGAGCAAAGGCGGAGTGGCCGGACTGATACAGATCAAGATGAATGGAGGAATAATAGGCTGAATGGATGAACAGGAAGAAATCTCTTTATCTGGAGGGCTTAACATTTTGCTAAAAGGTTCTTTCCTTTTGGATCGCCTACATCTGTGCCTTTTGGGCAACATCTAAAGTTGTACGCTCCTTCGGATCCTTCATTGCTAAGGCCAGATGTCAGTGGGTTACTTCATTCTTTCATTCATTATTTATCTCCTGTTTGATTCAGATCTGATTCGTCGAGAGTTTCTGCCATGGCACAGTGGCTTTTCAAGCTGTTTTCCACCCACAAATATAAGATGATCTCTTCGCAGTTATTTCCGAAACCTGCGTTTAGAGTAAGTGAAGCCTGCGGCCTCTATTACCCACAATCCCAGAGCATTTATTACCTGTTTAGAGCTATACCGGCTCACGGACAGTGTAATGATGGCCTTAGGACAGATGTTCGAGGTTCGAGAGATATTTCTCTCTTTTAAGTCCAGAGGTGTCTTCTGAAGCTTGATGCTTTTGACTAAAGTGTCTCAAATTGAAAAGCTCAAAACTGTGGACCACCATCTGCGTTACCATGGAGACTGTAGTTTTTTTTTTTTTCTGGAGTGGAGAGCACCGGTTCCATGTCACTCTAATTGCCCTGTCAGACAGTGGTGTGGGAGGTTTTAATGTGGAGTTTGGCACTCAATGCCAGGAGTAGAGAACGTCACCTCCTTTGTGAGTTTATTTAGAGTTTGGATAGAGAGAAATATTTAGTGAGGCTGAGAAACCTGAACGGTCCACTGTAAGCTCTCAGTAAATAAAGTTTTGTTTGTGAAGGTCTCTTTAAAAGTCGATGTAACTTCTTGGGAATAGTTAAAGTCTTTTGCTGAGTGCTTGAAGCCTCGCAGGTCTAAATTGGCTTTTCACTTGGCAAACCATTTTTT